CTAATTTTTTACAATTAAATTGTAATAATTTCTTACGTATATCCGTTTTATTTTCCTTCTCTTCTTTGCTTAATTCAAACGCCCATTATTGATCTTATACAGCAACTGAATCACACATAAGTTATGCGTTTTTGATATATACCATAGAGGTTGTTATATATATATATATATTTATATATATAGATAATATATATATATATATGTTTTGTGATATATATTATATGCTTATATATATCATATAATTAAATCTTTTTTCTTTGAACAATTATTTGAACATTCAATCGATGGTCAAATCGATTTATTTTCACTGGGCTTATTTCTAGGTGAGCATTTTTCCATGTGAGTATTTTTCTATGTGGGCATATTTCTGTGTGGGCTTTTTTATCTGTGAGCATTTACACCTGTGAGCATTTTTCCTGTGGGCTTTTTTTCCTGCGAGTATTTTTTCTGTGACCATATATAGGCTTAAGGAATAGCATTATTGTAAATGTGCGCCTCTTATGCATCCAAATAAAATTAGTAAATTAGAAATTAATAGGAAAGTTTGTATCCTTTTAGTAATACAATTTCTGATGAAAGATACTTAATTACGAAATTTCTCACGAAACATTCATGAAATATGATCAATAAATTCTTTTTTAAGCAGTTTGAGTTTCCAAAAAAAGTTCGGATTGTTCAAAATTATCGTACTTCTAACTAGACAGCGGGGATCAAAGAAAACTACTATCCCCCCCAAAAGGGGGAAATAATAAATAAAATAAAATAAATGTCAAATTTTAAAAGTAAAAGTATAGTTCCTTACGAAGCGTAACACCTAAACATCTTTGCTTGTGTAATTTTTTAATAATCTACAGTAGCTATCACGATAATATTAAGAAACTAAAAATCAATAAACTGTAATAAGTTAAGATTGGCCGATAGCTACAGAAAATAAGGCACTTTTTTCCGGTTTTCATGGCAAGAGAAACATTGGAAATGTAAAGCTGTCACATATTGCTGTTGCTCAAGACATTTGAAGACCTTAATAACAAGACAAAAATTTCTCAGATTACTCAAGGAAATGTCTAATATTGAAATATGATACTAATTACATTTTACTTGTACTATTTTACTGAAATATGATACTAATTTATACGAAAAATAAATCAGTAAAAAATACCAGAGAAGATATAAAGGACTCTAAAAAATGACGTAATGTGTAAGGATTGGTGGGAAAAATGCATAATTTCAACTAGTGTGTACTACAAATACTAAAAAGTAATACATATAATACTACAAATATATTGCATAGCTAAAGACTTAAATTACACAGAAGTAGTTTGTATTCAGATTTATTAAGCTTTATAAATGAAATTTCAGCACTAATGTGAGAATTCGTAAATGCGAAAAAGGGGTTTTGCTTTAATTTCTGCTTCCCTCCAGACAAAAAACTAAAATAAAATAAAATAAAATAAAATTTTTAAATCCCGTTCAAAGAGGCGTTAATTTAACATCAGCAATATCGCCAAATAGTTTTAAATTGAGCATATCTGGAAATAAAAAAATTTTTCTGTACAACGTTCCCATTGCTCGCTTTGAAATCATTGAGTTTCTTAAATCAAAAATTCGTTAAAGTTTTACAAAATATGAAATCTATAATAAAACAAATTCCAAATTTCAAATCTGGGTTTCCACATGCTCTTATTCGCAGTAGGATTACGTCATTCAAAATGTAGCTCTGTGTACCGTTGTTTTATCACAATGCGAGAAATATACCTACATTTATGCATATTTTCCATTATTTAATTTTCTTCAAATATAATGCAGGACTCTAACATTGGGTGGCAACAATGAAAAGTGAAAAGGATATTTAATTTGGTGAGCATATGTTTATTGTTTTCTTGGAAAGACAATTTAAAACAATTTTACACAACAAAATTTGAAACATTAAATAACTTTCACATGAGGTCTATTTTTGGCACCCAATTCAAATGTGAAATGCGCGCAATAATTCTGGACCACACTGTAAACTAAATGTATAGAGAACGATGATAGCTTGATAATATTTATTTTACCAAAAGAAACATTTTCAATTCTGGAACTTTCCAGTAAAGTGCTCGTACAGCTCTTCTCAGTATCACAGAGTACATTCAGTTATTATACTTCAAAACTACTAAGAACGTTAAACACAATGCAATGCACAAGACGTTTAAAGAACGAAGCTTACACGGAGATATCTCAATACTCCGGTTCAACGCTGAACTAAACAACTACTGAAAAAGTGATGATCTCTGCAATCTTACATAGTTTTCCCATCCATGGCCTCCAAGATATCGGCAGTACTTTCCACTTCTCGAAATAACTGGAATGTGTATGGAAGCCGGATACGGTTACAGTTACATATAGGATCAATTACAGTGATTCAAGTTATTCAGTTACAATACCCATTACAGTTATACAGTGACCGGAACAAAAACTTTGCCAAGTAGTCTCCAAGTTTGGCTTTTTTGGCTGACTTATTCGCCAAATTTTGAGACAAAAATTAGTCGCCAAAGCGATCGTTAGTTTGGCAATATCTCGCCAATTTAGCGAGATAGCCGTTTACTCAATGTTAAACAGACTTGCCCCTGTATTCTTATTGTTTCGGAAAAGCATCTTCCCTTTCAAGGATTTCATGTTACATTATACAAAAAATACTATAGTTTCACATATAATTTTACTAAAATTATTTACCGTATGTACAAAATTCGTAACAATATCAAAGCTATCTGCTGTCCTTGATTTTGAAGCCAAAAACAATTGCTATGGAATTCATATGGAGTTTATTTCCACAGCAATTGCTTTTTGCTGTAAGATAAATAATAATAAAAATAAGAAGATAATAAAGATATTTGCAAGTTCATTAAATTAAATTGTTTGGATTAAGACAAGGCACGGGAACGATATTTGCCAAGCAGCCTTTATTGAGGACTTTATAAAAAATTGTTTTCAATTCATGTTATACATTGCAAAAATCTCCGAGCTATCCAGTGAGTTTGAATCTGTCAAAAACCACTGATGACGTCGGCATGGAATTTCCTGGTCAAAATCAATGTACATATTTCATTAGCACTAAAAGTGAAACGAAACAGATATTTTAATTCTGATAATAAGCGTAACGTTAGAAAATAGTATATATAATACTATTAAACAGCAGTAGTCTTAAGAATAAATTAATGGCATTAATTCTTTTCTTACTTGCTTTGGTTGATGCACATTATATAATTCTTCTTAACCCTTTCTTCTTTTAAATTAATACAAAGTATGTAATAAAAGGCGCATTAAACGAGTGTTGCTTCTGGAAAGTACTAACGTAAATCAGTTAATTCATATTCAGATAATTCTCAGGCGTCTTGCATTGACCTATGCTGTGTCAAACGTAAACTGAGAGGAGCCATCTTGACCAAACGGAAATCAGGCAGTTCACAATGCAGCACCACAAATAAAAGCTATATTAAGAATACAAGGCATCGACAATTTTCGGGTAATCATCCGTAATCGCGACAATTTTCGGGTATCATATTTAAACGATAATATCGGTTTTCGCCGCTATCGAATGCAATTCAACGATGTTTTCCCATGAGATTTGTACGGAAGGACAGAATAAAGAACTCTTTTTTCCAAAACGCATCGTAAAAAGGATTTAAAATGGATTCAGAATAGATTTTTTCATGAAGTCTGTGCGTATCTCTCCTAACTCAAAATTGAGTAGCCTCAGAACACTGAAATTTGGTATATAAAACTGCTACAACATGTAATTGTGCACCTCCCTTTTTGGTTGCAATCGGCAGCACCAAAAGTACATATATACACCCACTCTGTTATTTGGCTCCGTGAGTTCGGCATTTTCATTCTTATATGTTGGTAAATTGTGCATTTTTTGTTTCAAAAATGATTGAATTATGTTGGTCTTATATTCCGGTTAAGGTTTTTATGCTTTTAGTTAATCTGCATGCAGTATTGTAGAATTATCAACAATTTAAATGTTTAAGTGCGGGTGAGCCTAATTTTTTTTACCATAGTAGCCATATTTGTTTACATTTGAAACTTAGCAGAATAGTGAATTATTTCAGTTTCTGCACCTTGAGTGTCTTTTTGCCGAGTGGGGCAAAAGTAAACGTTCAGTTTTGTGCACCGAAAAATTTGCCTTCTTGCCCTCTGGCCGATTGCTTGTTTTTGCGTAGAAACTCTAATTTAAATTGTAAAATTGTTTTTTAATTGTGTTAACTGTATATTTTTCTATATTTTTAAATTTTTAACTAAGATATTTTGAGGTTTTATGTGTTTTTGCCGTGCCCCGAAATGAGAGCTGAATTAATTGATTGAAAATCTATCTCTAATGAAATTCGAGGAAATAAGTTTAAATGAAATGCAGCCAAAAATGCGTATAATTTAATATTCTGTACAAAGCGGAGGTCTTGTAATAACCACATCAGATTTTTTAAAACGTATTTCCAGCTATTTGTAGCTAATTTTGTCCCTGTTGCTTTGCACTTGTCCCGGCTCTATATATTCCGCTAAATCATTATTATTATAAATTTTGTATAAATAAAAAATTTATATAATATTTCAACGAATGGTTACTGTAAAGTTACTAATTAGAATTATTATTATAAGGCTTAAATTTTAGCTCGCAAACAGAACTGGTGAATTTCAATAAAAGTTTGCTGTTCTACCATCAGCTGTCATTTCCGCGTAATCTATACTTTCGCCTGGGGTTAATTTATTCACAGCGGCTGCAACGCAATTTAAAACTCTCTCTATTAACTTAATATACAGTCCCTCGTCAATGAACGATGATGGCTAATCATGCAATCTGCGAGTTTTCATTCAGTGCAGAAAGGGGAGGGAGAGGAACCAAGGAAGATACTTTTCAAATCCGACTCGTGCCGGTGAGACGCGAAACGGGGGGGGGCGCAAAAGAATCAGCTTGATGGGGCGGATAACTTCGACCAACTAGACAATGCCCAACTTTGATTCCGGTTTCCTGATTCGCTGAGAGTGGCACGCGCCGCGCGCGCGCTGGCTCTCGATACCTGCCCCCCAGCGCAGAAATCTTTTGTATAAAGTTGGCAGACACGCGCCAGGTACCTCGGAAATCTCTTCACGATCATGTTGTTTATAGCAGTTTTATTGCCGTCTCTTGTTGAAGGTGCAAAGTGTCTTGCTCGAGTGATCTTGGATCTGGACTGCAAATTTTAACTCTTACTCCAGAGTAAAGATTCCTTTAAGTTTAGCTCAATCCAAAGACTTTTATCATTTTGCCAGGATTTTATAGAATTTTCAGAGCATTTTTTTACTTTCTCTGCTGCATCATAAAGCTATGCAAAGTAGCGTACAATGATATTCCAACAGGATTCCTAAGAATTTATACAAGCAGCTGTTTGTTAAAATTTTGTAAAACGTCTTACTCGCATTTTTTAGATTACTCAGTTTTATAACAGAATTACTAACGAGACTTTATACACTTTGTGTTTATGAAAGAAGCTTTCGGAATCTGTCAAACTGTTTTAGCTCATGAGAGAAAGAATTGCTTGTACTTCAACATCTTTAACTAAACTAGCGGTGTATATTTACGAAATCTGTCAACTCATAATTCAAGCATATAATGCTTAAAAGCTGACAGTATATTAGTAATATTTGCTTTTATAGGCTTTAACGAGTTCTGTTGAATTGTAAATTTATGTTTTTTTTTTTTTTTTTTTTTTTTTTTTTTTTTTTCTTCTTGTTGAAAGGCTTTTGCTCACAAAATCGTCTTATCCTAACTTAGTTGCCGTAATTTTTTTATCATTCTTCGTATTTCTGTTCTAGTCTGTAATTCCCGAAATAATTAATTCACTAAGATAAGCGAGCAATAGTTGAAGAAACAAATTTTTTAAAATTCAGTTAGACTGAAAGTACATCTTGTTATATGTAAATCCATGTAAGTACTGATAAGTGTAATTTCATTACATTTGTGTTACAGTTCATAAACTTTTAAAGAATGAAATGCGAAAATGATTGTTAATCACAATTTGCTGTATGGGTAAAATTACTAGTGTCTAAAAGGTTAACCATTTAAAGGGACATTTATTAGAACTCTCCATATGGTGCTAGACATGACCCAATTCTCTTCACAATCTCTTCCATATAATTCCTCCTACCTCTTACCGCACTTTAAAGGAGACAGCCAACTCTCTTCCCCTTGGGAAACTCCTATCCTATCCAATTATGATGATATGACGAGGAGTCAGCACAGCCTAACGGGATCATTCGATGGCCCTGACCCGACGCCTTCTCTGCCGAGCGCGGCGAACGAGTCTGCGGCACCCACCAAGAAGAAGTCTCGGAAAAGTGGTTCGAAGAGCAACTACAAGCATGTTCCACACAGAGAGAAGCCTCCGCATCTTGTAGCCCGACGAAACGCGAGGGAGCGCCGGAGGGTGCAGGCGGTGAACACAGCATTCTCCCGCTTACGTAAATGTGTTCCAGCTGAGAACAGAAACAAGAGGATGTCCAAGGTGAGTAAGGAATTCTATATTCTATCTCTTTCAAGCTTGATATTTAGCTAAGCATTAAATATTTTGCAAGTTTACCTAATCCTTTTCTGTATTAATTTGAGATTTAATTTTTTAGATAATTAGAATTAATTGTTAGAATTATTAAGTTTTAGATAATTATTTTGATTCAAAAAATTTTAATGTAAGTTCTAGAAAGAATTAAAAATATAAGTTCTGTTAAAGAATTAAGAATGTTTTCAGAAACTTTTTTTTATTTTCATCTTTATTTGTTTATTAGTCCAAAATCCCTGGGCTGTTAATTTCGTTTTGGCATTTTTTTGGGTTTCACTATAAACGCCACTATCACTTTTCAAATTGTTGCCACCTGCATAAATGTATGTATTCTGCATAAATATATGTATGTTTCTCGCATTGTGATAAAACGACGGTACCTACAGCCATAAAATTTTGAATAATGTAATCTTCCACTGAATATGGGCATCTGGAAGCCCAAGAATTTGAAATTTGTTTTATTACCGATTTCATATTTTGTAACACTTTAAAGAGTTTTTTATTAATAAACTCAACGATTTCAAAACGAGCAACGGCAGCACTGTACGGTGGAAAAAAAAAAAACATTTTTATCTCCAGCGCGGGAGACTGTTTATCGGAAATTATAAAGACATTTTTAAAATTATTTTGCGGTATTGCTGTTCAATTGAATTTTATGGTTTAGATGCGAAGAACGTGATATTTAATAAATAAAGCTAACATACAAAACGTTAAAAAAAAAGCCCCTTTGGGCGTAATATAAAATCTGAAAACTTTTTAAAATTTATTTATTTAAAAGTTTTTTTTCCAAAATTTCCGTCAGGTTTAGAATTGCATGCTTTTTTGTTCATTTTTCTCCTTCGAGTCCAAATGGTTCAATAAATATTGACTTTATAAAAATTTAATATTTTTTTCTGTGAGTCCTATAGAGTCCCTGCTAATGTAAGTTCGTAAAATATATATGTATATACGCATGTTTTAATTAATTGTAAACGGGAATTAATTCTTTAATTCATAATCTTTCTTCGCTGAATCGACATTATAGGGAATTTTTTATTTAGAAATCGAGAGAAATAACCAGTAAACACTACAAGCAAATTTTACTTACTGTTTGAATGAAATATTATTTGAAAAGAACTCTCTTTTACAATATTTTCATGTATTTATGAAATTTTGTAATCAAGTCTATATATATTGAGATTACGGCAAAGCACACTAGGGCTATCTTCCTAAGGATATCTTCGTGGAAAACTTCTTAAGAGAAACTGGTTCATATACACGTTACACATAGGAAAAACCACGGCCCATGCAGCCAGTCTGTTCGCGGAAATTAGAACGTCGTGTTCATACTTTCAGTGTACCTACTTTCATAACTTATATTACGGTCAAACGGACTTTTTTTTATTATTTTTACAGGCATATACAGGTGTTTCAAGATAACGCCAAATTATGCTAAAAATATTTAAAATGAGCCTATCTTTAGAATTTCCTATAGACTATCTCGAGCGCCGGAGATAAAAATGTTTTTATTTTCTGCAGCATTGCCTTTTCTCGCTTTGAATTCGTTCAGTTTCTTAATTCAAAACTCATAAACGCTTTACAAAATATGCAATAGACAGTAACACAAATTCGAAATTTCTGATTCGAGCTTCCAAATGCCCATGTTTGTGTGGAAGACTATGTTATTCAGAACTTGATGATTTTAGGTGCCGCTGCTTTTTCCCAATGCAAGAAACATGCATGCAGATTCTTCACTCATGCAGATTCTTCATTATTTAGTTCCTTTTGGTGGCAACAATTTGAAAAGGGATTCAGCTGTTTGAAATGATTCAACGCAAAATACCATTTCGAGACTGATAGTCCGGAAGTATTAACATAATATGTAAAATTACTGATGTGGAACGTGTATATATTAACGTAGTATGTAAAATTACTCATATAAATATAGATGTTTCCCATACATCCAATAATTCAATAACTAATTCATATGTGATTCTGAATTGGCTTATAACTAATTTTTCAACACTCAAGAATTTAAAATTAAATTAGCGAGTTTCAAGAACACTGCAGACGTCTATTTCACAATTCTTTTTAATGTGGTATAACACATCGCATGCATATATAACAAGGCTGTCAAATTGCTTTTAATTATAAAAATTTTCCTTCTACAAGTTACATTGAAACAAATTTATCTTCGCATCAATCAGTGTCAATTTTCATACGAATCTTTCTCGAACTTACCTATTAGCACGAGTGGAGAAGAAAAAGGAAGAAAAGTGAAAGGGATACCCATCTTTAATGTCCAAGATGAAAAACCAGTTCCAGCATCGAGTCTTCCAAAGAGTAGACACCGCAATATAATTAGCGCACATTCGAAATTGGCTTCTGATGCAATCGCGACTGGAAAATTGCTGAAAGAAAAGAAAGACCAAGATTCGGAGCTCGACAGAAAGAAATAGTTATCCATTATTTTAACTAGGTACAGATGCTAAAAAGAATATATGAATTAATACATCTGAAAGCTTTCAGAATTTACATTACGCCCAGAGGGGCGTTTTTTTAACGTTTTTTGTGTTATCTTTATTTATTAAATATCACGTTCTTCGCACTTAAACCATAAAATTCAATTCAACAGCAATATCGCAAAATAATTTTAAAATGAGCATATCTTTAGAATTTTCGATACAGTCTCACGCACTGGAGATAAAGAGATTTTTTTTCGTAGAGTATTGTCATTCCTCACTTTGAAATCGTTGAGTTTGTTAATCAAAAATTCTTTAATGTCGGAGAAATTATGAAATAGATAAATAAAACAAATTCTAAATTCCAAATTAGGGCTTCTAGATGCCCATATTCTCAGTCATTCAAAATTGGATGGCTCTAGGTAATATCGTTTTATCACAATGCAAGAAATATACATACATTTGATAAAGATGCAATAACACGCCGAACAAGTATTAATTTAGAAATCAAACAACAAAAATTAGCGTTATATTTTGTGAAAATTTGAAAATATAACCCTGATTTTTGTTGTTTGATTTTTAAATTAATACATACATTTCTGCAGATTTTTCATTATTTAATTTCTTTAAATATAATGCAGGACTCTAATATTTGGTGGCAACAATTTGAAAAGTGATTCAGACTTTCTGGGCAAATTGCCCCTTTAGGCTAAAAAAAAGTTCACGTAATTCATTATTTATCCCTTAACTTTTGCATTAAAATATATTTAATTAGTTATTTCGTTAATTTTTTTTTCAGATTTTCTCATTTGGTACACATCAGTAACTTCTGAAAAACGTGAATGTTATATAATTACACGAAGCCTGGCTGAAGTTACTCTTTAAAATAATTCCAGCACTTAGACAATATACAGATTATTTAACTCTTATAGCCAAGGCATCATCTTGAGAAATATTTTATATTTTTTCAGATCACACTTACAAAGATTATTATCTCAATAATGCAAACTAAAGGACTGTCAATTTGCAGAATATCACAAACCGATTAATTGACTGCTCACAAATCTAAATGGTTTATATCTGTTAAACGCTAAAGGGAAACTCTTATTTAAAATGTTTTGAATATTTTTTACTGTCATTGATTAAAAAGGCCTTCCGTTAAATTAGTATGTGCTTGCTCCCACCCGCCTTATTTAAGAACTATATGCCAACGATTAATTTTGAAATGATTAAAGGGTCTATTACAAATTAAAGTTAGTATTTTACCTTACACGCATACATACGTAGATATATATATATATACATGGTAATATGTATATAGGATGTTCAGAAAATATAGGATACAATTTTAAAGGTGGTAGAGGGTTTCAAAATAAGCATTTGTTGTCGCAGAATGCGTGCGCGGAAATTATGAGTTTAAGATCCATTAAATGCAGCAAGTAATAGCAGTTCAAAGCAGAATCTTGTTTTATCATGATGGACAATTTATCTCTGACGTCAGGAATCCCCTGGACGCCAGGTATACAAACCTCTAGACAGATTCAGAATGACCTGTTCATTGGCCACCGCGATCACCAGATTTGGCATATTTGGATTTCATTTTGTAGGGCATTTGAAAAGTGCTTGGTATGATTCCCCCATTGACTCGTCGGACTGAGATGAACTGGGAAGAATATACCTGGTCGTCAGACTGAGATAATGATGATATGTCATGTATATGCAAACCGATAGACAGATTGAAGTGGACCTGTTCATTGGCCACCGCGATCACCAGATGTGGCATATCTGAATTTCTTTTTGTGGCGGCATTTGAAAAACACCTTGCTCGAGACTTGCATTGACTCGTCAGACTGAGAACAATATCTCGTCGTCAGACTGAGATGTTAGGGACATGCCTCGCACCTCTGAAAGTGTACAACATCCATGTGTTGACGGTGCTAAGCGAGTGTTCTTGTTGGAGATTATTTCATTCAGCAAAACAGCTTGCATTAAACACTTTGTTAAATTTATTTTGGCCTGTCTTTATCTGCCTTCTTTACCAACGCTTAAAGGCTTAATTTCCAGACACGAATTCTATGAAACAGATGTTTATTTTGGACCCGTCTACCAACCTTTAAAATTTTGCTAGCTGTTTCCATATATATATGCATAAAATTATTAGACTATATATTATGCTCAAATTCAAACAATTAAAAAAAGTTGCATATAGCAACGACTGCGGATATACCGATAAATGCATAGTTATTACACATATTATATTCGCACCTGCTTAGAACACTTATTCACGAGTTTGAGAGAAATTTTTATGCCCACGGATGTGTATTACACTCTCTATCATTGTTTTTACATGTTTTAGCATTTACACGTTTTGTATATGCTAGAGAGTGCTGTTAAAATGTAGTCATTGTTTCATTCGCTATATTAGCATTATGCTATTTGTCAGATACCTTCTCTTAATGAATTCACAGTATCGATCTCTAGGCTTATTTTGATTGACGAGATGCTGGGATTTGATCAGATATTTCATGAATAATTTAGGTCACTCACAGAAAGCGAGTGTGATGCTTCTATTTCAATGGACAGCTGGTGACATATAATGGTTTGGATAACCCTAAACCCCTCATACAAAACAGTTGCCCATGCTAATGATACTGAGGCAATAGAAATACTCGGAGAAGGGTTTATGATAACTAAGGTAATTTTGAGTAATCCATAGGGCTCTGATTGCTACTATAAAAAAGTAATAAAATCTTCGTCAGTTCATTTTGCATTCTTTACTTATGTATGACCAATTGATTTTTTCCAATTAAAAAATGGAAACAATAGCCAACATTACGAAAGGAAGTAGAAAATTTGTCCTGTTGGCCATCCTATGAAAGCTAAAATATTTTCTTAAGTGTCAACAATAAAGTGCGATACTTAATTAATCAATTAGCAAGGGAAATGATCTTTTTTTTTTTTTTTTTCATTTGATTACAGAAATAAGTTCTTATAAAAACTGTTGTAAAGCGTTTAAAATTTGTTTTAAAAATGAATAATTTTTTATTAATACCCAATTAAATAAGTTATTATCCAAATTATATTTCTTGTCCGTTGATTTACTTGAAACTCAGAAATATTATGTCAAAGAAAAAATTGGAAGCTGTGGTTTCGAGAACTTAAATCATTAAAATGGAACCTGGAGGAAGAAATTTTCAGCACTTATGTTTCGCTCATTGTTCAAAAATAAACTAAGATTAACTCTTGTAGCTTATCATTCAGATAGGTAAAAAAGCGTTTATAGACCTGAGAGTTAAAGCACTTAATAAAACATAATATTCTAATGGCTTAGGGGAATTTTTCAATGAATAAAAGTTTGTTTAAAGGTCTTATATTTAAAAAATGATTTTTTTAATTCTTTGCCAGAATATCTTTTACTTCCTTTTTCAGCAAATTTTCTCCATTTTCACTTAAATACTTTAAAATTAGAGCCTCAAATTGCCTTTACTTAAAGATGAAGCTAGGAATGATAACTCAATCGTTTGTCTCATACTCTGTGACTCTGTAATTTTATTTAGTTTTTAGTTCATAATTCTGTAATATCCACTCTTGATTCTTCATAAATTATTAAGTAAATATTGAAGAATGAATATACTGCATCAAATAATCCACTAATATGTTCAAAATATTTTTTTTCTTCCTGAAACAAATAGAGTCACAATTCTACAGAAATGCATAGGACATTTTTTTAGCCCAAAGGAGGGTTAACTTAAAAGGGCTATTAGTCCCGAAACAGTATTTTGTTTCGAATCACTATAAACGGCTGTATCACTTTTCAAACTCTTTTCACCAACTGTTATCGCCCTGAATTATATTTAGAGAAATTCAGTTATGAAGAATCTACATGAATGTATGTATGTTTCTCGTATTGTGAAAAATCAACCATAAATAGAGCAATCAAATTTTGAATAACGTAGTCCTCCATCCAAATATGGGGCCTTGGAAACCCGAATCTTGAATTTTGAATTTGTTTTATTATCTAATTCATATTTAACTTATTGTTTTTAAATTTATTATTTTTATAATGCTTAAATTTTGTAAGTGAATTTTTGATTAAGAACCTCAAAAATTTCAAAGCGAGCAGTGGAACTACACTGTTAAAAAAAGTATTTTTATCTCCAGCCCGCGAGACTGTCTATTGGAAATTCTAAAGATATGTTGTTTTTAAATATTTTAACTCAAAGGGGCGTTAACCTAAATGCTCTCAAACCGTGTATGTGTTTGTAAATTTTAAAAAAATGCCCTTTGGGCGTAATATAAAATTTCAAAGATTTCAGAATTTTTTTTTTATTTTTTATTTTCTTGATTTAGCATAAGCCCGAGGCATCTGAAGTCATGAACTTTACATTCTAAACCCGATAAGCTAAGTAGCTTAAGTAGCTTTTGAGCTGAAATTTTAAGTTTATGGGACATCATTTTATTTTTTAATTTTTAAATAATATGATTTCAGAGAGTACAGATTAGGCGTCAAAAATCTCATTGACCTACTTCATACCACATTACGTAGTTGAAATATTTACCTGTAATAAGTTTCTTGTGTTATTGCAATGTTCATTGTATATAATATAGCTTGGGTCACGTACATTATAAATTCTTCGCCGAAGTCTAGTCTATTAATAAAGTAACCAAGATTTCATATTCACTCATTCGTTCACTTTGTCTAGGAACCGAAGCAGTTTAACCATTGTAATAAACATAGACAATGCACTAAAATTTCTGGCAGATATTTGCATTCAAGTTACGTGAGACTTCAAAAACCTTCTCTCCTTTCAATACCGAAATGTAAAAACACTTAAAAAAAAAAAAAAAAAAATCTAACTCTGGGCCTTTCCTATTCAGCACTGGCCATTCCTAAAAATAGCCATTTCGTTGTGGCCATTTATTGTGCAGGCACCTAATAAGCGGCTACCGTTAAATCTTATGAAGGGACGGACAGTGACAACCATGCCTTCTACGGTTTGAACCTGGGCTTTTCGATTCCGCAGTAGGCGCACCTAAAACCACTCTACAGTCTGTGCCTCTGTAAAAATAATGTGAGGCTTTATTTAGAACGTGGCAACCAATATTGAATTTCCATTTGAAGAGTATTTATAGCTTAAGATTTCGGTATAGAAAAATGATACATAAAATACCTAATGTCTCTACAGTGGCGCCCGAACTAAAAAGGGTGTTGGATGATGATTCTCCTCTTCCAGGATTTGGTGATTGGGTCCTTTAAAACCCCCAGTCGCCCTTTAAAAGGGGGAGTATATAAGGTATTTTTCCCACCTTCTTGGCATGTCTTCGTGGTGTAGTGGTCAGCACACTGAGCCGTTATTTCAGAGGTCCGTGGTTCGATTCCCGGGGAAGATGATTGCTAATTTTTCAATTCTTCTGCTTCCAAAAAATCCTAATGTCTCTACAAGTTTTTCATGACCTTTTACCATATGCAACGTGAATACGAGCCAGTGTCGTCTAGAAAGTCCTCTACGAAGGCATTCCTCCCGTTCGATAGATAACCGTAATGTGCTTTGCCATATTTAAATAATCTAACTGATCTAAGGGAGAATTTTCCTATAGTAGTAAAGTGCCCTAAAATTCAGTGGAAATAAAAATTGATAGATTTGTCTCTATTGAAAAGTAATACTGATCTTTTTTTATCTTTTTTTTTTTTTTTTTTTTTTTTTTTTTTTTCTTTTTTTCCCAATGGCAGTTTGTGAACAATTACAAATGTAACCCAGTCCATTAATCGATACGAGGCCGGATATGGTGGTCTCTTTATTATGGAGGCACCTAATAGGTGAGCCACCATCGACTTTCCTATGAAGGGACGGACAGTTACAACCATGCCTTCTCCGGGATTCGAAACCAGGCCCTTCGGCATCGCAGTCAGCTTCCCTGACCATTATACCGACTAGGCGGCGTAATGCTATTCTAAATTTATTAATAAATTCTATAGGCCGAAATTTTAATTAAATCACATACATTGCTTTTCTTTGTGAAAGCAACAGTAGGTTATGTAGTAGGATACTTTGGCAAGAATTGTCTTGGCAATTCTGTTAATAACAGACATTTTGAAAATAAGAGTGTTTTTCAGAAAAAATGTTATATACTTTTTGGTCTTGGTTTCCGTTGATTTCATTAATCTCCTTGAGCCAATTGCTGTCTCTCAAATTTCACTGTGGCTTTGGTCTGCAGGCTTGTTAATAAATAATTCTGACTGACACTTCTCATTTGATTTAAGGACACATTGCCAGATATTAGCTTATGTCAGCTTAAACTACCCATATAATTCAGTTTTTAAATATCTTAAATTTGTAGACAGTCCTTAGGTAGAACCATTGGGCCTACCTAAGGAACTTCGCTGCAAGAGTTGATTCTAAGAAGGACTCCGCGACCCAAAAGATTTGGGAACCGTTGGTTTACGTCATTTGTAAGATTAATGAACTTCTTTCAATCATAATTTTAAGTCATAATCATACTGATTTCGGCTACAGTCGATACCAGTTGTAACGAACCTGGTTTATAACGAATCGCCGGATATAACGAAGGACCCTTTTGGTCCCGTCCGTTCCCTATGTACTTAATGTTACTTTTTACCATTATAGCGAACTTACAAAAGTTTGAAAATCGGATATACTGAATTGCGTAGCTATCTTAAACCTTTTTTAATTATTATTAATTTTTACAGACCTTCTGCAAGTTTGAACGAAAAAATTACTATTAAAATCGTCCACATTTAGGATCCAGATTCTACATTTCATTCTTAAAGGAAAACACATTATTTGTTTTTTAAGTTTCATTGCCACTTTTTTCTGTGTCCCGAAAAAAGTTATGTAAGAAACGTAAGATGCCGAACTCTAGGAGAACGAAGATACAAAGCATATCTTAAGACAGCATATGGTGTACATAACCCATCGAGGCAAAAAAGCATGAACGGGTTCTCTAATTCCGTTCAGATCTGTTGAACAGAACACTGACAGACAGAGCTTTGTTGAAGGCTATCGTGGAAATCTTGAAATTTTTGCTGTTCAGGAAAAGGAATTAGTGAATATTATGAGCTTTCGCTATAAAGATTGTTTATCTTTTAAGGAAGGATATTTTTTATCTGTATTGTTCGTTTTGAGTATAAATCTATTATTATGTTCATCCTTTCAAATATTTTGAGTTTTCAAAATGCAGAGATTAACATTCTGGTTAGATAATGGAGTTTTAACGATGATGCAGTATTAAACGATTACATACAATTTTTATAACTATGCCATGTTATAAAAATTAAGTTAATTTAATAAACTTTTGGATTTTTAATTAAATTAATGAAATTTAGCATTCAATTATGTTTTTATATTCTTTCATTCGCAGTTTCGTGCGTAAAAAATTAGCAACAATAAATGCTGAAAAAAATCCTATTTTAAAGGTATACGGATTTTATTAATGTGCAGTACACATTTACTGGTAAAATCAAGGATTTCTATTAGGATTGCTGGAAACAGAAATGGAACATTTCGAGAAAAAGGAAAGATTATTTGTTGAACATTTTCTAAAAATATGAGAACATATTTTGATTACAATCAAGTAATTACGAGACACGGGCGCTTCCCAGCGTACCTGAAAAAGATTTAATTTGAAAAATAATAGTCTTTGTAGTTTTTGTAGTGCTGAAGGCAATTCGCGATATTTCGTGGAAAACTGCGTATTATTACGACCTGTTAGAGAAAAACATGGTAACATAAAGGAATTCTATTGCCGCAGAAAAGAGTTCAGATTTGTACAGGATTTGATGAACTTTACAAATGACAATAGAACAATATACGGAGTTTTAATTTGATGTTTTTAACTGTTTTTTTTTTTTTTTTTTTTTTTTTTGTTTTGTTTTGTTTTGTTTTAATCTTTGTTGAGCGTGCTGCGTTAACCATGAGGCCAATTATTATCTGCCAAGAGGGTTGAGTACACTCGTATGTGACTCGTATTACATTATAAATGCCGTATAAATGCCAGAAGTACTTCTAGAAGTTTGCATTATAGTATTTACATCTTAACTATCTTACATTAAGGAACAAAAACAAGTTCATACTTCATGCACTAAGCCTTAAATGTAGGAAGAGCCTTAAACGATTCTAAGTAAAACAAATTCAAACAAATAAATAAGGGTCCCTAGTTGTGGGAGTTTTTGATGGAATGCACTTACCAATTAATCAGGCACGTTTTAAATAGTGTCGTCAAACTTTTTATTTTTTTTTCTGTCATAAACGAAAAAAAAATCAAAATCAAAAAATATGAAAGCCTTCAGATTCTATATTCCGCCCGAAGGAGCGCTTCTTTAGCATTTTGTGTGTTACCTTTATTTACTAAATAGCATGTTCTTCGCTCTTAAAGCATACAATTCAATTCAACAGCAACATCACAAAATATTTAAAAAAGCATATGTTTAAAATATCGGATACACAGTCTCGCGCGCTGGAGTTAAAAATGTTTTTGTTTCCGCATAGTGTGTCCATTGCTCGCTTTGAAATCGTTGAGTTTCTTAATCAAAAGCTCATAAATGCTTTACAAAATATGCAATAGATAATAAAACAAATCCCAGATTCTAAATTGGGGCTTTTAGATACCCATATTTGGGTGGAGAAGTACATTATTCAAAATTTGACGGCTGTAGGTACCATTGTTTTATCAAAATGGAAGAAACATGCATACATTTATGCAGATTTCTCATCATTTAATTTCTTTGAATATAATATTTGGTGGCAACAATTTAAAAAGTGATTTGACGTTTAAAATGAATCAACACAAAATGGCAAAGCGAAATTAATAGCCCTTTCGGGTTAACGCCCTTTGGGCTAAAAACAATTAAAACTGTCGTTCTGCGAAAATTTAAATCGGTGCTACAGATATGAAAACCGATATAAATATGTCCCGAGCAAACGCTAAAAAATATGCTTCAACTGTGTGCAACAATGTTGCCTTTTAATCTTCTCTGAAGTTATGATACAGCTGAGCTCGTGATGCTATTATGTAAATGACGCTACGTGCATTCCGCTCTTAATTCATATATTACGTTTTTTGTCTTCTTGAAGGTCAAGACCCTCCACCGAGCCATCGAGTACATACAAATGCTGCAAGAGATGTTGTCCAAGGCCGACGAAGAACTCGGGTCAGAAGATCTCTGCCTCATGAACGTCGGAGCGGATTCATTAAATAAGGAAAATGAAATTCATCAACGATGGCTGCCATTAGATTCGGTAAGAATGATCTTTGTTTTGCATAAAGCTTTGCGTTTATTAACTTTAATTGAGATGTATCAAGGAAGTTAATAACTTCATTTGCTGTCAGTTTTGTAAAACTGTCATTTAACTTTTATATTATATGTTATCTGATATGTAATATGTTTTGTTTTAATTCGTATGTCATGATAGTTAAGTATTATGTCAATAATAAAAAATTCTATTTATTTTTTTTTATTCTAAGAACTGATTACGTACCTTAAGAAGGATAACGATAAAAAAATTCGAATTCGAAAAAAAAAAATCCTCTTGCCATCTTTTTGAGAGTTCATTCAGCAATATTTTCGAAAATATAAACAGGCCTTTTCGAATTTAAAAGTATAAAATTCTATTATATTTAAATAACATTGAGATCATTTTAGTGAATTTGACTAATGTTTATGTACCTTAATACATTTAATAGCAATTCTGCCTCAGAACTGCATTCTCAAAACAACGCAAAATATCAAATGAAATTCGTCCTTGATCATCTATGACAATTTTGTCACCATATTCGAAATATTACTTTGTTCCTTGCCTTTTACGAAGTAAAAGAAGTATTGTAACCGCGAAATATTTCGGATATCATATTTCAAAGAAAATATCCATTTTGGTCTCTCTAGAATCCATTTGAACTATGTTTTTGCCTGACAACTGTAGGCATGGACAGTACACAGGAACTTTTTTTTTCACAAAACGGATTGTAAAATGGATTTAAAATAGATTCAGAAGAGATATTGTTCGTGACGGCTGTACGTACTTATATACCGTGCATAACTTAAAAACGAGTAGCCTCAGTGCATTCAAATTTTGTATATGAGACTGCGATAACACGTAGTTGGGCACCTCCCTTTTTGCTTATAATCAGCCATACCGCTTACAGTCCCCCGGCTCGGTGAGCCCAGGTTTTTATTCTTACACGTAGATAAATTGTGCACTTTTTGCTTTAAAAGGGATTGAATTATGTTGTTCTTATGCCTTTAGTTAATCTGCATGCAGTAGTTGCAGAATTATCAACAACTTAAAAGTTTAAGTGATGCTAAGCCTAATGTGGCTACCATTGATTTACTTTTGAAATTTTAGTAGAATAGTGAATTAAATCAAATTCTTCACCAAATTCAGTGTCTTTTTGACGAGTGGGACCAAAAGTAAACTTTCCGTTTTGCGCACCGAAAAAATTGTTTGTTTTTGCGTAAAAACTCTAACTGTAAATATTGTTTTCTTTAACTGTTTTAAACTGCATTTGTTTTTTTTAGTAGAATAGTGAATTAAATCAAATTCTTCACCAAATTCAGTGTCTTTTTGACGAGTGGGACCAAAAGTAAACTTTCCGTTTTGCGCACCGAAAAAATTGTTTGTTTTTGCGTAAAAACTCTAACTGTAAATATTGTTTTCTTTAACTGTTTTAAACTGCATTTGTTTTTTTTAGTAGAATAGTGAATTAAATCAAATTCTTCACCAAATTCAGTGTCTTTTTGACGAGTGGGACCAAAAGTAAACTTTCCGTTTTGCGCATCGAAAAAATTGTTTGTTTTGCGTAAAACCTCTAACTGTAAATATTGTTTTCTTTAACTGTTTTAAACTGCATTTGTTTTTTTTTCTTGTATTTTACAATTTTTAATGAAGATATTTTGAATTCTTATGTATTTTTGCCTTGCCGCGAAGTGAGAACGGAATTAATTGAATGAGAAATGCATCTCTAATGAAATTCGAAGAAATACATTTAAATGAAATGCAGCAACAAATGTGTATACTTTAATAGACCGTACAAGGACGTCATGCAGTGTGCACACCAAACCTTTTTTATATCAAGGAGTTTGGTAAATATAAGTAAATATAATACACTTTTACGTATGAACACCTGTATTTATAAACTTATGAATTTATGAACTTTTATTTATGAACACCTGTTGTATTATCATATGAAATTATTAAATAATTGTGAAGTTTCATGAACATGAATTTTGAATAATGATGAATATTTTCCATAAATATTGAATATATTCATAAATTCTAGATTTTCCACAATTTAAAATTATTGCTATAATTTTTTAGTATTTTTCATCTTTAAGTAACTGTGATCCTGTCACTTCAATTAATGCAAACGTAAGCTTCAAATAAAACTATTCCGAAATCTAAACAAACTTCAAAACCAGGAATTGATGCCCAGTTTCTCTAAATCTCTGAAATACAGATAAATTGGTATTCCTAAATTATATAAACTTGTCTTTCATTGACCATTAGTAGTAAGAAACATTTTGACGTAGAACAATACCTTTTCTAGATTCAAAAGCATCTATTTAATGTAATAACATATTTACATATATGTATATTTAATACCAACCGCTTGTTCGGCCACACTGGAATGGATATTTTTGTTGAAATATGATACCCGAAATTTTTTGCGATTGTCAATATATCATATACCTCGTACACAGAAGTGAAAAACTGTGAAATATTTTTTTTCTACTGGAGCACTAGCAAACTAACACAAACCTAGAAGTTGTCACTTGGAAAATGCATGCGTGATTTAGAAATTTAATAAATGAAATTGCGGAAGACAGAATGTTCTGAAATTTAATTTGTTAATTCAGGTATTTCTCTGGCTAACCTTCCACTTAAGCACTCCTATGTAAAATTTCCTGAAGCTTCTAAATTATTTTTTTAAATGATACATCTTTATCTGACGAGAATTATGGGACATTTTAATTGAACGGAGACTTGCGCAAACATTATTAACAGGTTCTTGGAAAGTGGAGTGGACGGAATCACAGACAGATGGTCCAAGCCGGATCATAAACTGTTTAACTGTTCCCCCTTTTCCTTAGCTAAATAAAAAGACTGGAGCCGCGTCTTGAATAAGCAAGCAGACAAACTGGAGGGTAGTTTTTTGACAGATATCTATCTATCCATGCAGGAATGTTAACTGAAGCAAACCAGTTCGAGTTCTCCTCACCTGTCCCGTGTCGCACCAGCCGCCGCGTGCCACCTAATCAAGGAAAATCTAAAGCCACGCTTCAAGTTCTGCTTGTACGTGCCGGTCCAAAAATACGACTTTGTTTTTCGCCTACCAAGTGGTATAAAATATTCCTAGCAGACTAAACACCATACGGGTAGCAGCAGCTTAATAGCGAAACCGCAAGTTTGTGGTTAGGTGGACATCAAAAGATTGTTAGCGGACCGTAATAGGAAGGCTAGCATGTTAAGATGCTGGTAAGCTAATAAAATACTGTCCAAGGTAAAAGACGCAGATTAATTTTCTGCCATTTTTTTTTTTTTTTTTTTTTTTTTTTTTTTTTTTTTTTTTTTTTTTTTTTTTTTTTTTTTTTTTTTTTTTTTTTTTTTTTTGCGGTTTTGTGTCAAGCAGTAGGCAAGGGTATTATTTACCTGAGGAATGTCTGTAATAGCACACGAAATTGTCCAAATATAGGTACTTTAAGATAGTACACACCAAACTAAATGTATTTAAGTTATCTGTCCTATCCTCTGGCTGATAAATTAATGTCCTGAGGACATAGACGGATTCCACATGTCACATGTTCCCCAGGTTTTTGATTACCAAAAGGTTTTTCAAAACAGCCTGTAAAAGCTAGTAGATATAGAAAACTGGAAAGTTCTTAGAAGTGATAATCTATAAATACAGATAGAATCAAGTTGATACTTAACCCCCTGCCCACTCCAAAAAAAAGTATTGGGAGGGCATACGCTAAATTTCCTCGAATTAGTAATACTAAAAAGATCTCAAATCTCTCCAATCCTTTTTAAAAGAACAATTAGAAGGGGAAAAATTGTTTAACATCAAAAGTTGTTAATAATTGTTGTTTAAACTTGTTAAGAAAGTAAGAATTGTTAAAAATTGTAAAGTTGTTTAAAAAATCAGTTTTCAAAAGTACTAAATTAAGTACCCATCTAAATTTTAGAATACTGATATTAATTTTCTCGGAATAATTCGAAAAGAATAGTTGAGTATCAAATCAAGTTTTGCATTTTGCAGAAAATCTTTTTAGATCAAAGCCAGCGTAAAGAGAAGAGGCGTCCTTCAAAAGTTGATGCGGATAAGTATTCAGCACGATACGTTAAATTCTGTCCAAAAAATTAAGAATATGGAACATATGGCCGTCACGAAGATTCATTTAAATTCCAACAATCATGTTTCTTTTCAGCATAAAGGGGAATTTGTCCAGAAAGTCTATTAAGAATGAAGAATCTGCATGAATGTATGTATGTTTTTTGCATTGTAAAAAAAAACAAGGGTACCTAGAGCCAAATTTTGAATCGCGTAGTCCTCCGCTCGAATATGGGCATTTGGAAGCTCGAATTTGTAAAACGTTTACTAATTTTTTATTAAAAAACTCAACGATTTCAAAGCGGGCAGTGGCAACACTGTACGAAGTAAAAATTATCTCCAGCGCGCGAGATTGCGTATCGGAAATTCTAAAGTTATGCTGTTTTTAAGTATGATACTGCTGTTGAATTGAATTTTATGGTTTAAGTGCGGAGGAAATTATATTTAATAAATAAAGGCAGCACACTAAACGCTACAAAAAAAACGCCCCTTCGGATGTAACATAAAATCTGTAAGATTTCGGATTTTTGTTTTCATTATTTACTTTTTCTTCCATGACCGCTTCTTGGAGTCACTGAAGCAATTTCTAAACTTTCTATTTATAATGATTAATGGTTTCTATCTTATGATTCGAATGATCTAGAAAAGACAACAGATTCAACGGAGTCAAGGATTCAAATCTCCTATCATTAAATAATGATAATAACAAGCAACATAAAAAAATAAAGTCATTTCCTGCTTAAGTCAACAAAGAAATATTTTAAAAATACTAAATATTAAAAAAATTTTCATATGTGAAAAAAACGTATTAACATCAAGTGCCATCCACTACAAGTTTAAAAAAAATGTATTTGGGTTCGAGCGGATGAATAAAGAGTATTTTATTAACGACTGAAAACTAATAAATTGATTTAAAAAAATTTAAAGTCAATTCCTACTTAGGTCAACAAAGAAAAATTTTTAAAATACAAATAATAATAATAATAACAATAATAAAAAAAATCTGAAATGTTTCAGATTTTAAATTACGTCCAAAGGGGCGTTTTTTAACATTTTGTGTGTTACCTTTCTTTATTAAATATCATGTTCCTCGCACTTAAACCATAAGATCCAGTGCAACAGCAATATCGCAAAATAGTTTTAAAAACGAGCATATCTTTAGAATTTCCGATACAGAGACTCACGCGCTGGAGATAAAAATGTTTTTTTCTGCACAACGTTGCCATTGCTCGCTTTGAAATCCTTGAGTTTGTTAATCAAAAATTCGTCAAAGTTTTAAAAAATAGGAAATCGATCATAAAACAAATTTCAAATTTCAAATTTGGTCTTCCACATGCTCATATTCGTTGGAGGATTACGTTATTCAAAATTCGATGACTCTATGTACCGTTATTTTATGACAATGTGAGAAATATACATACATTTACGCAGATTTTTCATTATTTAATTTCTTCAAATATAATGCAGGACTCTAACATTTTGTGGCAACAGTTTGAAGAGTGAACCGACATTTATGAGTCCGACGCAAATGAAACTAATAATTGTCCTTCGGGATTCAAATCCCTTTGGACTAATAAATAAATAAATAAATAAGTAAAATAAAATACAAACAAAACTTTTTAACACGTGACTTGTATTAACTTTAAGTGTCATACACTACAAGTTTAAAAAAAAAATGTAACTTGAGTTAACTTGAGTGAATGAATAAAGAGTATTTTATTAACGATTGAAAACTTGAACATATATATGGCACATAAAGGAAACAAATTAACAGGAAGGAAATTTAAACAAACATTAATTTTTTAGGCTACTTGGCTTTGACGGGTTTCGAATTCGGGACCTTTAGTTTTCGAATCCTACATGTTACCCCAGTAAGCCACAATGCGTTCGGTCAAAAAGAGCAATTTTGGCTACAATATGTATACTTACCATAATAATTATCTGTTTGCTAATTTTGCAGACACATGTGCCTCAATCAGAAACAGACTAGTCTGTATGGGTAACTAACCTATTCTGTACCATTAACAAACTTTTGATGATTTCCCGTCTACCATGAGACTTGATTACTTCGACCTGGATGAAGTGATTGGACCTTGATACGACCGATAACAGCCATCGGAACATAATGAAAGGGAAATGTCTTGTTACAACATAGTAAATATGCAAATTATTAATAATATTATAAAATAATTATTTCACACACACTAAACACATTTCCAAATTTTATAGCTAAAACAGCAAATCAAAGATCTGGCCGAAGTCACAAAAGACAATAAGAAATCCGTTCTATGTTAAGGAAAAAAAAAAAAGTTCTCACATGACCTCAGTGACCTTTCTAAAACTGATGGCTCATTAATTCGTGAGCAAATTTTGTTGCAGACCATCGAGAGCAAAATAATACGAAAAAAAACGTGTGAAATATCCTAACCCTGTAGATGATGATAGGACGGTCCCGGGTCAGAGTGCACCAACCTCCCAATCAACTCCTTTATTTTCATTACCTGTAGTAGCTCTCCCCTCATCTCTTTTTTTCTTTTTTTTTTTTTCGGGGGGGGGGGGAGTCTCGTGCAGGAGGTATTCTGCGTGACGTCACGTGAGGAGTCGCGTGCATCGTGCACCAGGTGATTGCTGTCATGATTTCAGCGATGATGTTGCTTCAAACTCGAGGGCCCTTTTAATGTATGTATCGTGTATTCGTGATTTTATTGCAACGGGTCGGGAGAGAAGGGAGGATCTCTCTCTGTTTTTTTTTTTTTTTTTTTTTTTTTTTTTTTTTTTTTTTTTTTTTTTTTTTTTTTCCCCACTGCTTGTGGTTTTACGAGAAGCTTCCAAACTTGTTCGAACTCCTTTCAGCTATCTCAGTTCTGTGTCTTTACAATTCAGAGATCTGTTGGGAAGGAGGGGGATTAAATTCCCAGTGATTAAAGAACGTCACTCTTAAATGGCGTATGGGAATTTTGGTTTAAATAAATTAACCTTTATCTTTTCATTTTTTTTCCCCGTTAAGGCCATAATGGTTATGGGAAAAAGGGGGAACATTAAGGGAGAATTTTGGATAGTAAATGACTCACGCTAGTCATGCTTTAAAAAATTTTCCTTTTACCCCATCTAAGTGTTTTGTTTTAAGAGTTAAACGCAGAGTATCATTAATATAGGTGTTCAGAAAATTATCTCTTAAACTATCTCTATTCTAAACAAACTTTTGTTGATTCAAAATCTGTAAGAAATTTAAACTACATTTTCATATATATATCTTCTTAAATGAGCCAATAGGATGTATATATCTGTACCATAAAGCCCGGCGGTCACGCGAAATAACCGCTGTTCTAGATATTATAAATTGTAATTAAAATGATTCGTGAAGAGGTGTCTGCTAATTCAAACTGAATTACCTAGGGCAGGCGACTAGGACGCCCCTTTGCTTACTACCCCACTGGGTTTCCTCCTTCTACTTGCTTAATTGCTTAAAGTAGAGTGCAATGAAGGAAACCACTGGCGGTACATTTCTTAAGAGCCAATAAATAAAGCACAATAAATAAAGGTCATTTAAATAATAAAATGTTAATTCACATGTCAAAGATCTCTTTGTGCACAACATTTCTTATGTAGATCTTTCCATCATTTTTAAGCTCGCCTTGCAGAGAACCATCAATTATTTTTAATTTTACGTCCGTTCTTTCACGAACTCTTGAACAGGCAACATAAACTTGACCGTGTCCAAATGCAGGCTCAGTTAAAAAAATGCCAACACGCTTAAGCGTTTGGCCCCGAGGCTTATGGATGGTCATAGCAAAGGTAAGTTTTACAGGAAATTGTCTGCGTCTCAATTGAAACGGCAACCCTCTGCCGTGGCAACTTCACCCCCATTGACTAGTACAGTTACGCAAGCAACCAATAAACTATCGGCGACAAACAGACACTTAAGCCGCATATAATAAAGATATTTATTTATTTCATTTTATTTGTTTCTTCATTGTTGATGGTTTTTGCCGATTGCATAGTTCCGAATTCTATTATATATAGATGTTAAATTTATTTATTAAATGTTAAATGCCCGTGCTCTTGTATTTTAAATTTTTTTCCTGCTTAGCCTTTCTCATAATATTCGTCACGCGCTGCACTGCACGATGAATAAAACAATTTACAGTTACGCAAGCAACCAATAAAACTATCGGCGACAAACACTTAAGCCGCTTATATATATATAGATAGATATAGCCACATATCTATTAGGCAGATACCTGTATTGTGCTTAGCCATAATCAGCTAAACAAACACAAATCAAAACCTTTACCTATATCTTATTCCTAACGTCTGCATCACTTTTCGAATTGTGCCAACAAATATTACCCCCTGTAAATGGGGGGGGGATGCTACTTTGGCAGCAATACAAAATCTGAAAACTTTAATTTTTTTTCAACTTACATCACACTGTAGAACAAATATGTGTGTTCCTAAAATAATATGCGAATACTTTTGTAAGAAATTGAAAAATTATATATAATATTTTATCTTAAACATAATATTTTTACTGAAACTTTATTGTCATTGTATTCTATAGAATTCTAATTTTATATAATTATACAGTATTAAATTTTTCAAGCTATATTATGTCTATTTATATGGGGCTATGAAAACACAGAAGAGTAGAAATAAGAAAATTTGAAAAACAGCTTCAACATTATTCAAAACTGTGCGGCATTATACACAACTGAACCATATCAAAATGTTTTGGCTTTGTTTTTATATGATTACTGCAAAGCCTCAAGGGTTATCTGTCTAAGGAGAGGAATGCTTTCGTGGAGTATTTTCTATAAAAAACTGGCTCGTATACAAGAGATTTCAAAGGGTAGTTACTGCCCAAACATAAATTATGTTTATAAAACCAGTTGCTTTACTTGATAGAGTTAGAATTATAGGAAAGATAATTTATACTGCGAAGTAGATTTTGGAACCTCGAAGAAATCTTCTGTTTTAACAGACTGTGTGAAATAGATCTGTTTTCTCTAGATTTATTTCAAGATGATTGGCTTTGGTTTATTCGATTATAGCAAAGCACTATCTCCCTAAGGGAAGAGATGCTTTCGGGGAAGACGTTCTAATAGAAACTGGCTGGTACAGACGTTACACATGGGAAAAACCACGAAAGCGCCAGCCCGTTTGTGGGATTCGACCCTCAGATCGAACTACCAGTGTTCAACGACGATACCGCTCGGCCACTGATGGGCAGATTTATTTCAAATCTGTCAAAATTTACTTGCGTGAAACTGACTCTTCCTTCAGAGAACGAAAAATGTTGTGTCTTGAATAATTGAGCTTTTTCTTTACTAAATAAGTTCAAACGTCTTCACTGGCTAAGTTTGCGATGCAATGATGTCAAAGTAAAGCTTTTATTTACTTTACAGTTTGCCATTGCTGTTTCGTACAACTAGTCTTAAAAAATGATTTTCAGCTCTGAACCTAGAATTAATTTTTAAGTTAATAGGTCTGTCGTATCTGTTTAGTTTAAAGTGTTTATTATTAAATGGAATCTGAATACGAAGAAAAAATTGAAAATTTTTCTAATTTTTTTGCATTTATTTATTTTTTTTTTTACTTAATACTTTTACTTTTACTTTTTTTACTTAGTTAAATTCTTCTTTGCAGTTTTATACTGCAATCTGAAGTTTTTAAACTGCTATATTCCTTCCATTTTCTTTTTCTGAGGTTTTAAGGCTGTTACAAATTGCTTAATAGTTGAATTTTTAATATAAATTGTATAGTTTCTTACAGTATTCATCAATTATATATCTATATTTTCCACGCAAAGGTGAAAAAAAAATTTCATTCTTAAAATTTATAAGCTAATTAGGAGTATAATGACTCAGTGAAACATATCAATAATTCGCTTCGTCAGAGGGTTTATGTGGATATTTCGTTACAGAGAGAATAGAAAGCTCTCTTAAGTTTATGTGATTATTAGCGTAATATATCAATTCAATTACGATATTATAAAATTAGAAAGTTGATGTACAAAATGCATGATTTACATCAGGGTTTCTTAAACTGGGGGCGCCAGAAAGTTTAGCAGTTTTGATATTTCTTTAACTTATTATAATAATTTTACAATTAACAAATATTTTTACACTATGTATCTGAAAATAGATAAAAATAAGACAATACAGACAAAGAAACAAAAGAAAACGTTTCGACGCGTTCTTTTTATAACATAAACGTTCATTTTCCTTGCTTTGCACGTGACGCTGTCATTTCGTCTGTTACTTATTTAAAATTTTCACATTTCACTATGTCTTAAAATTATAAATTAAAGTCAATGACCTAAAACTGCAATAGTATCTTACAGTACAAGTGAAAAAATTGACAGTTACACTCCCGTGTGTATCGGATTTGCTCAATACTTGGGGTCCCACAAAATTTTTATAAATATTATGGGGTCCTGGGGGTCGCGAAAAAATCTCAGTGATAAAAAGGCGGTCGCGGCTGAAAAAAGTTTAAAAAACCCTGATTTACATGATCATTACCAGTATTCTGTGATTTGCAAACCATAAAATGAACTATGAATTTAAGCATCCATTTTTGACACAGTCCTAAAATGCATTTAATAATTATAATTTATTGATTAAATTTAAAATATCTAGGATTGCTTTCATTTCTATCCATTTTTGTATGGAATACGCATTTCCAATTAAATAATGATATAACTGTTTTTAGGCCGCCCAACCACTATAGTGGTATAGCGTCGCTGAAGTGCTCGAGTTCGAATTCGAATCTCGTAGAAGGCATGGATATTTGTAAATATATAGTATCCGTGCGGTATAGGGGTACTCTAAATATGCGGCGAGCTGAAAGTCCTCACGAGAGGTTGGTGGTAGGAAAGAGGGATGGGAGACCGTCGGACCCACCCCGCCAGGTTGGTCGCCAGCGAAACTGGGAAGGAATTGAATAAAGTCATACTGTCACCTGCATGAGGCTCAAGGCAGTTGCCAACGGCAGGCGTAAAACTTGCGCTCCTTGCCACGAGGTTTTTCGTGGGTTTGCGCTGATTGTATTTGAGACAAGTGAGCATTAGCAACAACGATAACTGTTTTTAAAGTAATCTTTTTTAGATACCATAAAACTCAAGATGGAAGTGTGAACCATAACGCCTGGAGAATTGTGTATAGAACTCATTTTAAATAAAAATTAAATAAATTAGAAAACAAAAATTAATTTAAAGGAGAAATAAATAACATTTATCTCAGCTGAATTTTATAGCTCCTTTTTTAGGAGTGCAAGTACTTTTTGTTTCTCATTTTGTATGTACAAAATAATAGAAGTACCTTTGTAAGTTCAACAAATCGATAAATTTTACTTAATTCTTTAATTCGCGCAGATTGTCTAACATTTCTTATCCTTTAAATCAAAGTATATTTCATTATTTTTCTTTCTTTTAGGCCTGGGACGAAGAGAACCAGAACAGTTGTCTGTCATTTTATGATGACTTCACAGACGCAATGCAAAGTTAATTCTTCACCTTTTCTTCAGATAACTCTCCTCAACAAAGCAAGCTGCGTTGCCATTCTGGCTAGTTCCAAGATATTACGAAAAGTCTGCTTTCTCGTCTGTTGCAACATTCCAAGTGATACGAAACAATCTGGTTGCAAATTTCAAGAGAAGAAATAACCAAACTAAGTGTTGCAACTTTAGAAAATAAATCTGCTCCTTACATCATGTGATGAGGACTGATATTATTCCTCAAGTGAAGATTTACATGTGAATTGAGAAGTATTTATTCCAGATTGGTTTAGTTTGAGGTCGTGCACGTAGAATTTCGTACTGGTCTTTTAATAACGGGTTAGCAGAAACTGTTGTGTCACCAGTTGAAATTTGCTGGTCAAATATAATAATACCGTTAATAAGCTTTATTATATACATTTAAATAACAATAAATGTAATGGACACAGATGATATATACGATACGAGAATTTTTCAAAAATAGGGATGTATATATTGAAAGCTATCCTTTTTCTAAATATAGCTTTTAGTTACAAATCTTACAAAAAAAAAAAAAAAAAAAAAAAAAAAAAAAAAAAAAAACTGCAATCTTTAAAATTTTATATTACGCCCAAAGGCGTGTTTTTTTAACATAGTGTCAGTTACCTTTATTGATTAAATATCATGTTTTTTGCACTTAAACCATAAAAGTCAGTTCTGCAGCAATATCACAAAATAATTTAAAAAGAGCATATCTTTAGAATTGATACATAGTCTCGCGCGTTGAAGATAAAACTGCCCCCCCGTACAGTGTTGCCATTGCTCGCTTTGAAATCGTTGAGTTTGTTAATCAAAAATTCATGAAAGTGTTACAAAATATGAAATAGATAATAAAAACAGATTTCAAATGGCCGTATTCGGATTGAAGATAACGCTATTCAAAATTTGATGGCTCTAGGTATCGTTGTTTTATCCCAATACGAGAAACATACATATCTTCATGCAGATTACTCATTATTTGTTTTTTTTTAATATAATACAGGGCGATAATATTTGGTCGCAACAATTTGAAAGATGAAACGCCATTTATAGTGAAACTCCACAAAATGCCAAAACGAAATTAATAACCCTTCTAGGCTAGTGCCTTTTGGGATAAAAATATATTGCTCCTTTTTTATAGAAACTTTGAATTTTTCTGGCCTTTTGTGTTTGTTAATGTAAATATAATATAGGAAGTTAGCAAGGGAAAATAATTCATACTTCCATATCGAAAACTGGGGAAGGGGGTAGTTTTGGTTTAAGCTGTTTTCTTTGAAGCACGTGTTTGTTATCTTTACATATTTTTCAAATATTTTTAAGAACTGAAAAATAAAATGAAATAACATAGCTGAAACTTTCATTTCCTGCTTTTCGTTCATTTTTTTATCTTGCAGTCCTTTCAATTTTCAGCTTAAACTTGCAATTTATGTAATATTGCCTACTTTTCAATTAGTGCAACATGTAAATTTCACAAAAGTACTGAGTATTTTATTGACCTGCATCTTCAACGAGCAGTTAAATAGAATTACAGATTTTCTGTGACTTGATCAAGCTGCATTAAACTATATTATCTTTCTTCCAATAATTAATTTCAAATGAGGCTTTTCAGTTATTGGACAAGGAAAGAAACATGGTGTAGTTCGAAGATGTTAAAGGAGCAAAAGGTTTTGACAAAACTTTTTTCGTCATTTTGTGCTACGATTACAACTCTATTCGAAATTTTTATTAATGAAAATTTACATCCGATGGTGAAGATATATGAAAAGCTATAAAAACGCAATTTCGATAAAAGACTTCAGATATAGAATATCCTTCTTACGAAAGCAATGAATTTTGGAACAGTGACCAGCAAGAATAAACTGTATACACTGATACTCCAGATGAAAGAAAAGGAATTTTTATTAGTAGCAGCTTCCAATGATGTTCGATTGTGATGAAAAATATATAACGTCATCTAGTCTAGTGACATGTAGAGATGCTTATGAAAATGTGTGTTTTTAATAAATGAAGAGGCCTGTTTCTAGCGCTTGATCAAATATGTCCGATTTTCTTCTTTTTTATGTTTTGATAGATTGTTGCATTGTTTTGTTATATGATTTAAATATGCAAATACCTTTAGTTTAATTTATAATTTACATTTGGTACAAATGTGTTGATTTTGAATTAGTAGATCTTTAGCAAACATTAACTGCCTGTACTGGCAAAGTGTTAATATATGGTGAAGATGTTAGTTATGTCATGTAATTATTATGCTTTCATTAATACTCAGTGCACATGAAGAACCACTAAGTTGCTCCGATCGAATTCCCATTCCCATTTCTTATTGGCTAAAAATATTTTTAATTACTTTGTAGAGACATTATAAGGTATTTCTCCCGCCTTCTTGGCATGCATTCGTAGTGTGGTGGTCTGCACGCTGGGCGCGTATTCCAGGGGTCTGTAGTTTGATTCCCAACGAAGGAGTTGCTCATTTTTAATCTTGTCTGCTTTCAAAAATACCTAATGTCTCTACAACATTAGGTATTTTTTGAAGCAAGAGGCGTGAAAAATGTGCAGTGACCTAGCCGGGACTCGAACCCTGGATCTCTCGAATACGCGCCGAGTATGCTCCCAATTACACCACGAAGGCATGCAGAAAAAAAGGAGAAAATACCTTAAGTACTATTTCTTTTAAAAAGCGACTTGTGATGAAAGGAACCAATCTGCTCTCGCTAGATTTCGATCTCTGGGCCTGTCGAATACGCGTCGAGTATGCTTTCAATTATACCACAAAGGTATGCAGAAAGGAAAAGAAAATACTTTATAACTTCCTTAAGCTTTGCAAAAGCAAAGAGAAAACTCTTTTTTCGCGTTTAATTAGATAAAAATGAGGACTACCCGTAAATTATCATTTTGTAATAAGAAAATTTACATACTTATCTAGATGTAAATAAATGAAAACTATAGATGTATAAGAAATTCGTTGGCCTTAAATTAAGCATACATAACCTTCGCCTTAAATTTATTGAACCTTTTTATGCATTTTGGAATAATCTGACCCAGATCTCCCTTCAAAAAGAAGCCAAAATCTTGTATGGTATATAAGAATACCTTTCCTTCAAATAGATAGGTTCTTACGAAATCCGTTAAGGAATTCAATAAGCTTGATATGAACATTAGCTCGAAATTATTAAAGATATTTAATTTAAAAGTATGGGAATGATCTTAAAATGAGAAATATAAGAGCACTACGTGGCAAACTATAGACCATTAAATATCAAGTCTTAAAATGATTATTCTTTTAATTAACTTTATTTATCCTATTCAGTAACCGTCTTCGTGTATAATCTCGTAAAGTTCTGTTTCCGTATTATTCCCATATCCAATTTAAGATCACAGTAAAATTGATTTGTAAAATAAAATAATAGCTATTGATAATTATACATCGAAGGAAAGAGGCTTAACAAAGAGTAATAAATTTAAAAGAATAACAAAGAATGCCCCTATTTGGTAAAGGATAGACAGTCCTATCTTATTATTGCGATTGGATCTAAGCCACATAATTAAGAAAGAAGAGAGTAATTTAAAAATTGAAATATAAATTTAAAAAATATCGGTACATAACACAGAATTTTTGTAAATACACTAATGGTTTAATTGTTTATAACAAGTATTAGATACATTGAAATTTATGTTAAGCAAATCTATTATTAAAAAAGTTTTGAAAAATATTAAAAATTACCGCCATTGCTTTTAAATCGTTCCGTTTTTTTAATACTGTGTGTAGTAGTCTTTTGTAAATTAAAGATAAATTGACAATATTTTTCTCCGAAATTTTCAAGAATCATAGAACAATCAACCTATAATTCTCATACGAAAGATAGATTTGTTCTTTCACGAAATTGGCAACAGCTGAAAAGAGCTCGGAATTTATTAGGTCATGTAGATGATTCATTTTAAGGGAGCATAAAGAAAGGCAATGAAAGTAAGGTAAACTGATTCATTATTTCTTTATGTTTTTCTTTATGTTCTCTTTGGTTTACTGTCACATTTTACATTAAATGAAACATAAAATATTGAATTCAATAACAAGTTTTCTGGTATATGTTGGCATATGTGCTAAAAGTACTTTCTGAATTACGCTTTGTAAAATACTTTCATGACATAACTAATATCACCATTTCTTCATATTAACTCTTTTTTAAAGCGTTAATATCGTACAATCTGTAAATAATGCTATGTCTATATTATGATAATTTGTCCGCTGCAACCATGCACAATGATCAAGTGTACCAATACACCTCGCTTTAGTACATTGTACAAGTATGCTTTATTAGTATTATATGTGTTGTAGAATGTATTGGCAATTGTAATGAATGGAAACAAAAAAAGGTTATATGTCACTATATATGTGTGAATGACGGGGTATTGTAAAGTATGGACAAAAGAATGAATTACAATAAAAGAATTTAAATATTATTTTGACATTTGTGCATAATTAGTAAAATTTTGTTTTGTATTTTTCATGAATTAAAAGCCGGAATTAATCAAAAAGATTTTACAAATGAAATAGTTCTTAAAGTTGCCGAAAACCATTAATATGTTTTGAAGCAATAAATATGAAAAATCAAGAATGGCATCGGCAGAATTCTAACTTCTACTTGCTAACTTGATGTCTAACTACTTACACCAGACAACACCGAAAAAATAGGGCAATGATTCCTTGTAAAGACACAGAATACTGTAGAGGAAAGCTACATATAATATCAAAATATAATTAGTATCTTAATTACACACATGGGCTATGGTAGCTTCGATAGTTTATTGGTAAAATCGTCATAAACGAATAAACCGTTTTTAAACAATTGTTCTCTATAAAAATAAGGCTTAACACTTAGAAAATCAAATCTTTCTCAAACATACTTGCTTAAAATACCGAAATGCCCGTCCCCGTCCATTACAGTCCATCCCTTTCCATTAACACACAAAGTGGTGTGAAGATTTCAAATGTCATCCTTTCTTCTTCCTAACAAAGAAGCTTCCATTAGCCTTTTAGGACAAGCTGGCTGCATTAAACTGATACAGCGCATTTGGAGAGCGGCACCTGCTACTGCATACCTTAGGAGGTATCAGAGAGATACCTCCTAAGGAAGAGGAGGGAAGAAAACGACATCGCAATCAATCTCGGCCGTTTCGGGGGGTTGTCGTAATTTGAATGAAAGGCTGTCTCAGGCGTTTTGGTCCTCAAAAGGTTAAAGAAATAGCATTTAACAGTCAATATTTGAATAGTGCTGCTATCAAACGACAACCCTGCTGCTCCACTAATTTTTGTAAGCGGTGTTAGAAGTTTTTTTTTTTCTTTCTTTCTCCCTCCTCCCGCCAAAAAACTACCGGCTAAGGAATTTGGTAACAGTAATTCATACGTAATATTTCAATTCCAATATAGTGTGTTGGATTGTAAGTTTCCAAGATATCCTTCCTTTTATTACCGCAGTTCAGCAATCTCATGAACATGCCTAACGCACTAAAAGGTTGCCTAAATTGAATTAACTGACTGAATTGTAAACTTAATAAAATAATAAGTA